AAACAAAAATTAAAGAGAGAGTGGAGAATAAGAGCTTGCACAATGATTTTATAGAGGTTCGGTCCAACCACTTGGAGCCTAGTCCTCTACCTTGGCTTCACTCACCAAGGATTTCCTCCACACTCTCCACTAACAAAAACAATGGTGGCTTAAAGGAGCCACTCAATCCTTTACAAGAAGATGAGTATTTTTCTCAAACCTCACCCCTTTACAATGTAAATCCCACAAATCCTCTCAATAGATCACTCTTGAAGGAATCAACACACCCCCAAGATCACTCACTAATAGCACAAGAAGAGGATTACAAGAAATGATCACTTAAAGATTAAAAACTCAAGTTTAAGCTCAAGTAGGTAGGTAAAGATATGCAATGTTATATTCTCCTAACTTTTTCATATCTGTTACCAATCATATTTATAGCCCCTTGCTCGAATATAGCCGTTTCTAGCCGTTGGGGGCCTTTAAATGCTCTGCAGGATGCATGGCTCGAGTTGCAGAACTGTCAGGAGAGCCAGCTTAACTTCTTAGAGCTGGCTCTGCAGAGCGGGCTTACACTTTCAGAGCCGGCTATCCGGGTTTGCAGGCCATTATGTTTTCCTCGAGAGTCGGCTGCAAGACTTTGAGCTGGCTTTGGAATTCCGATTTTAAATACATTCAAAAGAGTCGACCGTTGTGCATTAAATGCATCTTCACAGCCGGCTGCAAAGTTGGAGTCGGCTTTGCATCTTTGCTCCGCGCGCGCCAACCAACAATCCTTTAAATGTTTACCTATAGAGCCGGTTGCAGCTTCTAGAGCCGGCTCTCTGCACTTCCACAGCCGGCTGCAAGTTTTAACAGCCGGCTCTCTGCACATTTTCAAGCATTTTGGTCTATTTTTAGTGCAGTCCAAGTTTACTTATTTTGCAATCTTTTGACATTTTAACTACACATTTAATTGAACCAATTAGTCACTCAAATGTGTTTTGTAATCATCAAAATCATAGGTACAACACTAATACCACCCCTTCTCCCTTCCACTCTTAGCCTTCAATACATAAAAGTATTTGAAGACATTTGCAGTTGGGAACGACACTCCTCGGGCTCAGCTGTATACTGCAAAGGCAATTACCAGCCGTACAGCATTTGGGAAGAGCTGTATCAGCCCTCAATTGTACTCCATCAAAATCCATACCAACAACTTCGGGATGGGGAATCATAGCCCAACCATCATGTAATGAGCATAAACGAGCATCCAGTGGTCCCCTTAGGGTAGAGCAAGCCAGTGGTCCCCTTAGGTAGAGCAAGCCCTTTCCTCCCTTCCAACCGACCTTAGCAACACATGGTCAAGCACCCCATAGTTCTCAACCAAGTACATCAGACTACCTCTGCTTTTGAGAGACGTTTCATACTCCATTACTTTAGAAACAATCTCCTTTTCAGGATTGACACATCCCTTCCTTTCATTATCTACCTCTAAGATACTTTGAGGCACCCCCCCATCCTCCTCTTCTTCCTACCCAACCCTTCCCTTTTCGTATCCAACATTAATCGTCTTTTCTAAAGACATTTTCACTAATCAAAAAAAGAAGAAACAACATGTTCACAAGTTACTTGATTTCGACTAAACAAGACTAAAGCAGAACAAAAGGCAATAAATTTGTAAGCTTGTGCAATATTCGCAACAAAGTAACCAAATTTGCTTTAAGTGTGGCTAAATATATCAATGTAAATATCAAATCCAATGGCCATGATTAATTTTATTTAATGGTCATGATTTTACCTTTTAGAATTCGACGCTTAACCTCCCATCGCATCCTTTCGAATGTGACAGTTACTTTTTGTAGACCATATTTATTATTGTGCATCCTTCCATGACAGTTATCATTTGGTACATTAACTCCCTCCAGGGCTCAATGAGTGGGCCCACTTAGGCCTACTCTAGGTCCTTTCAAATACATTTTCCATCTACACTAACTGCCAAGTGTTCCACCTCATACTTTCTTAGTTGCGTCCTGACTGAACGTTCATCTTGGTTACAGCCAAAACACATGACCACATGTCATGCACCTTCATCTTGGCTACGGCCAAAACACAAGACCATGCATCATGCACTTTCATCTCGACTATGACCAAAACACATGACCATGTGTCATGCATTTTCACCTCAGCTTCAGTAAAAAACAACTACAATAATCCTCTAATCATTCACAAGTAAATGACTTTGAGAAGGGGAATAATGTAAGGACAAAGTAGAACCCAACACTCTGCTCCACAGTTGTAGCTCTGGCACAGTTGTATGGCAATTACAATGAGAACGCCCTTACCCAATTACTAGTCTTCACCTAATCCTTTGTCTCCAAGAGATCTACTCCGTCAGAACACACCACAGTCATTTAACGCGATTGCTCTGTTAAGACACATTGCGTTCATCAAAGATGTCTATTATGTTAGACACATCATATCACGAATATTATGTTAAGTAAACCATGTGGATGCCCTATCAAGACATACAAATACTTCCACGGGCTACTTCTAAAGGTAGGGTGAAAAAATCGATAAGTCTCTCTTTCCTTTTGTTTTCTCAAGAGTGTAGACCAGACTATTGTTGATTTGAGCATCGAAGTGTCTACCCCGAGGATAAGCTTCGGAGCTTTGCAAGTTAGATCGAAGAGAAGACTATAATAGAGGAGATTTCAAAGGTTTACTGCATCTACAGTTTCCTTTATACTTAATTTCTATCTTGTAATTGTTTTTCTTTTCTTTTTTCAATATTTTTAAATATGATGAACTTTACAAATTCCTACTTATTTTAAAATTTAAACTTAAAACTTATGATATGAAATCTCAAGTCTCTTAAGGCTCTCGCTAAACACTACATACATTTTCTCTTTATCCATTTCATTTTTTATTATTATTACAATTCATTTTTTAATTTAAATTATATTAAACTATAAATAAAAAAACAGAAAATAAGATAGAACCCATTTGATTATTAATTTTGTATTGTTCAGTACAAACCATAATGTTGTTAGAGGAATACTAAGGAAAATCTCTCTAATACTCTTTTTTAGATACTTTCTATATAATTAAAATACATAATATAAACTTGAAATGATTGGTTATAATTTCAAATTTTACAAATCAATTCAAATTACAAACGGAGAATTCATCTTTAGTGTATTTGTTAAGATTTCCTTCCCAATTCAGTGAAGAATCCAAAATTTATTTTAAACAAGTGGAAATTTATTAGCCAAATCTCTCTTTAGTGTATCAAAAATTTACTTATTTTCAGTAGTCATTTTGTCATGTGACCTTTTTGCCATTCTAAACCTTTCAAAATTTCTCCCTCATCCGTTCTCTCCCGCATTACTAAGTCCAATTTTTCCTTTGATTTTTTGAGAATCAGTAGTGTCCCAACTTGCTAATGCCAAAGGCATCCAACCCCAACGTCGGCTCGAAAAGGGAAATGTTTTTGCTGCTCTTTTAGTTTGTTTAGATTCAGTGCAATCGCTTTTTGGCTGAAATTTTTTGGGATAAATTTTAGTTTGATTGGATTTGTGACAGTTTCTGAACTATTTTTGTTTTGGCATAAAGATTCTAAATCAATTTTTACCTCTTTCTTTCTTTTCTTTTTTTTTTTTTTTTTGGATTGTTTTGCTGTCTTTGCATCTCTTTGTTCATCAACTATTATAAACTTGATCTTTTCTTTATCAGATTTAAAGATTGATTCTGTTGAGTGATTATAAAATCATTAATTTTTAAATTATTTAATTTAATGATATATCATATATGTCATTCCATGGGAAAAAGAAAAAGAAAAAAAAAAGGAAAAACTAATGTGATTCATTTATAAATCATTGAATTGTTGGCTCAAATTTGGAAGACATCCTATTCATTTGACTGGCGCCTGTGACGATGAATAGGGGAGGGGGGGTTATTATGTACTTCGCAAAAGTATCATGATCGATACACTAACAATAAATTCAATAAATGCACTTACCCTCATTTACGATATAAAATTGACTCACCACAGCAGAAATGGGTTAAGTCATTATAATTTTCTCAATTTTAAAATATTAATTTTAATATTAATCACTAATCATAAGGATTATTACCCTTAAAATCCTATAAACCACACCTCATGGTAGAAATTAGAATAAAAACTTGCCATTTATTTTTATTAGAAAAATAGGAAAATGATTCATCAATCACCCTCTCCTTTCACTCAGTTTTTTCTCATGAAAAAGGATTGTTAGAAGAACGTCGTTTAATCTAAAATGTGGCTAAATTAGATAACTGGTAGAAACGAGGGATTAGTTTCTGCACAATAAGGTCATAATCACCTTGGGAGTACTCAAAGACTCTAGTTATAGCAAACAAGTATTAAGAAAAATTAAATTAAGGTGCTGAAAATTAAATAAGCTTAAGATAGATGCTGGAAATTAACAAAAGAAAGTGTAGAAAAAATAATTAGACGGAAATGAAAACTGCAGGCAAAAAATGTAAACTGGGCAAAAATCTGAAAAATGCAACAAAAATGTAAAAGATTCTGAAATCAACTAAAATGATAGACATATTTAAATTTGAATTAAATGTTTAACAATCGAAAAAATTCTAGTAGAGGCAAATAATAACAATAAGAAAAATGTCATAAAAACTAATCCACTAGACTAGGAATCTGAAAAAAAACTTGCTGGTAAATAACCTTAATATAAGAGATAATTGAGCTAGACAAAACTAAGAAAAGCTTGTAAAAAACAAAAAGTTTTGAAAAGTCATTGATTTGTGTTGAAGGACAAGCCTATTGAAACTAAAACATGTGTTGAAAACTCGTATTTAAAAACCTCCATAATTGAATTTGCTTAGCAAAAATCAGATCTAAATCATCTCCCCATCCATGGTTAAAAAAACAATCTTAATAGCCCCGGAAATTATCTCAATCAATAATGTGAATTGCCAATTAGCCAGAAATAGAAATTCATAGCCCAAATCCATCAGGATTCTACCAGTTAGATACTCCTAAAAATCAGCTATACTCTTCTCAATTGACCTGGTAAAATCTCACTTGGTCTCCAACTCTGCAACTCGCTCGTTCCAAAGAAAGAAGATAACAGTTTAACCCAACTAAAATATTACCTTTAATCCATTAGCCTTTGATTTATTTGCAAAAATCCAAAAAGTACTTGGGTTGCACTCTTTTTGGGGCCACATGATTATCTTTTTAACTCAACAAAACACTCCTCCTTTAAATCCACTTGTAGAAATAAAGTTCAACTCACCGAGATTAATTAAAAAAATGCCAAAGGTCTAACCCAACAAAAATAAATTGTATCAGCATGTGGCAACACCAAAAATAAACTCCAAGTGCACCATATTACAACCAAATATTTTCTAATTATTTTTGAAAAAAATTTATGACTACTCAATCTCTATATAGACACATAGCATCATCTCAAAAAATTGTTAATTATGGTGTAAACACTAATTATATTAAATTTATAATTCACGTGGCACAATTATTTGTCATCAATTTGTTCTTTTTTGGAATTATCTGGTCTAATTTTATCATTACTTTTTTGTATTAACTCTCTAATGTTTAGAAGGTACATTGAGTTCAATTAATTCAAAATCAAGTTATATCAGATCGTATAAGATAAGAAGTTGTCTTGACATCTATTTTTTCATTTATAAAATTTGAATTCTCACAAAATTAATATTTAAATATTTATTTAAAAAAAAATCAAATTTCTTTTACTCTAGTTAACAGGTGAGTGGTAGTTTTCGTAATTCTTAATTAACCTATCATTACTACTATTAGTACTCTAAATAGCTTATTGGCAATACTTTTGGGCCATTTTTGTTTCTTCGCCTTTTGGGCCATGTTAACTGTTGCATTATGTACTTTTTCACTCTTCCAACCTTCTTTGCATCTCCAACCTTACTAAATTAGAACGCCATTTTGAAAGCTGCAAGAAATTGGGTACATGCAGTAGATTCGACAACTTTCCATCTCAATTTATATTGTATTCTTCTTTGTAAATATAAATATCTGATTAATAAATATCTGAAAATAAAAAATATAAATAGTCCTCTTATTAATAAAATAGAGATTTAATTTAAATAATAATTGCAAGAGGATTGAATTTAATAAGAAATTTAATATTTTTTTATACGTGAAATTCAAATTCAATTTCTTTTATTCAATCCAAACAATGAATTTAAAATATATGTATTTAAAATATATACTTTAAATAGAAATTCAAATACTTTAAATACAAATACATGTTTTCAAATATAACTTTAAAATTTTTAAGTTTAGAAGAGTTTTAAGGATTTTATCTTAATATCAATAACAATAATAATTATTTCAAACTCCTCTTAAATTAAAGAGAAGGGTAAACATGAATTTAGTCTCTAATCTTTAACATATATACTAGATATTCTACTTACCTTTCCTTTAGATAAAAAATGAACCACAATCTTTTCTCATACACGTACTAAACCTAGTTACCACTGCTAAGTCCTTGATAGAAATGCGCAAATAGTAAAAACCTACAGACCTACTAACCTCAAATCATTTGAGATGTTTTTAAATTTTCCTTCTTTTTTCCGACTCCAAATTTGTGTTTCATTTTTCTTCTTCTACTGCTTAAAAATTAATTCAAGAAGCTATAATAGATCCACTAAGGCGTAAAGTACCTCGAATATTAGCAAAAACAAAGAAAATAACTAGTAAGAAATAAAAACATCCAATGCAAGCTATTATTTTGCTTCGCGAGTACAAGTTACACTACCATTAGGACTAGTTGTACCCGCACCATCAGCAGCAACCAACATCTACCATTCTCTTGATTTACAGGAGCATAACACAAAAATCAGTTGTGCACACCGAAGCCACAAACAATTGATTACCAGTTTCATACCCAAACCAAACGCCATCCAACATCCGCTTAAATCTCCACATATCCCCGCTGAAGACGCAAACCGACAACCCCTTGTCACTCGACAAGAACACCAGCGGCCCATTGACATACCCCCAAAACCATGGTGTAAAAAGACACCAAATGAAAGTCACCCAAGACACTCACAGAGGAGGGATTAGAAATAGTCGAGAAATTAACCCTTATTAGAAGAGGAAATAAAGCCGCACTTCAGAGGTGGCACGAGACCCTCATTGGTGGAGGGAACAAAGCTTCACACCACCATGGTGGCACAAATTCACGGCAGCAGCCCTAGGGGAAAATAGGGAAAATTGTGGATTTACTCCCAAATCTTTTCTATAAATACTAGATACTCTCAAAACCTCTCATTTAGACCAAAAATAAACCACAACCTTTTGAAAATCACTAAACCTAGTAACTTTCGCCAAGTCCCTAATACAAATGCTAGCTAGAACTTTATGCAACCTCTATAAGCACCATTAAAATAGGTAAAAACCAACTAAACTTCAAATCTTTGAGATATTTTTAAATTTTCTTTCTTTTTTCTGACTCCCAAATCTGTGTTACATTTTTTCCTTCTCCTGTTTAAAAATTAATTCTAGAAGCTATAAGAGTTAGGCTCTAACATTTTGTAGGATTTGGATGGATCCCATAGCAAAAGTATTTATCTAAAGAAAAAAAGGGTTTCTACTACTGGAATTTGCATAAATCTGAAAAATCCGAAGATAATGTATGTATGTGTGTGTTAATTATCAACCCAAACAATAGAATTACAAACAAAATTACTTCGGCGAAAGCAAAGAATGAATATTATCAAAACAAGAAAAAACAAAGAATGAATGAAATAAAGTGAGATGTGGTACATATGGTATCGCATCACACGTGGCAGCCGCAGCAGAGAAAGAAGAAGCAGAGGGTGGAGACGACAACAACGGCTTCCACCACATAAAGAACCCTGAATACTAGATTGTCCATTATAGCCACCTGAAAATCCACGCGCTTCCACTTCAATCCCGATGTCTTCCACCGCCATAGCCTCTCCACCTTCAGCAGCCACGCCTTCTTCCCCATCTCTCTTTGCTTTAATCTGCTGGTCCCCTGGTATCGTAAGAAATGGGAAAGCCACTGGTTTAAGCCAGGACTATATGTATTTGAGGATTGAGTAGGAATCAAATGCCTCTCTCTGATTCCTTTTCTTCTTGTGTTTATTATATGCAAAGAAGAGCCGCTGGCGATGTTTTAGGATATTTGTTTAAGATTAGTTCCTGAGGTGAAATGTCTAAAATAACATCCAAAAAAAAAATAATAATAACAATACTATTTCTCTTTTCAATTTTTAATTTATTTTGAATTAGGCTATAGAAGAATTCTCTTTCATCTCTTTAATCGCATCATTTGCATATCTGTCACTTGTTTTAAAGTATATTATCATTAGGTCACTCTAGTAGTTGGTAACTTGTTCATTTTTTAATTTAAAATACATGCACTTAATTTGTAATACATGCACTTAATTTGTTTAATGTCATATTTTATATTAAATTTAAGTTTAATTTTTACAATAAATACTTAAAAAATTAATTTTTTTAAATACACTAATTCAATACATGAAGTACTCTCGTAAAATTAATAAAAAAAATTAATTTTGAGATATGTAGAAGTTAATTTAAAATATCCTAACTATAAATTAAAAAATTATTTAATATTAGACAACCTATAATAGGTACTCCAAAACATTAAAATTAGATCACAATTACACCAAAATAATAGCTAATTTTTTGTTCCTAAGATCATGCATGCCACAAGTAACTATTATAAAAGGAATGGTAGTTATTTTTTATAGATGGATGATTATATGTTTTTAAATTATAAATGACAAATACTATTAAAAAATAGGATATATTTAATAATAATTTTCTAACACTTAAACCAACCATTTTCCATTTTAGCCAAAATTTTTTAAATTGCTACTAGCTTGATTATCTATTCTACTGTGGTTATGCATTAAAGATTTTTTTTGGTACTAATCTCATATATTTAAAAGGTACATTCAAATTTAATTAATTTAAACTAAAACCACGTTAAACCCCATAAAAGAAGAAGTTTTTTTAGCATCAATTTTTTTTATTTATAAAATTTAAATTTGAAATTTTATTTTTAAAAATATCAAATTATTTTTATTTAAACTAATAAGTCGTTGATATTTATTAAAGATTTATATATGCAATAGGTATGAAATATTTTTAGAGTAATATATTTATATGGAGGGCATTTTTGTCTTAACAGCAAAATAACAGTGCATGTGTGTAATAAAAAATAAAGAAATGTATAAAGAAAAAGAGTTTTCAGCTTTCAAGTCTTTAACGGCTAAAAAACAGCAAGACAAGTGCTGGACGCCAATTACTTTTAACGGACACATGTCCGTTCCTGCTTACACTTCTCTGGGATTGGGGGGTGGGGAGGAATCTAACGGCTATTTTTATTTTCTTTTTGATAAATCATAAGACAACAAGAAATTAATAAAGATAGAAAAAAAAAAATAGAGAATAGTCGGTTCTTTGCTTTGGAGACGTGGAAAAATCTAGGTTTCCCCTTTTGCCAGCTCATACTTATCGACCTTTTGTTAGAACACGCATCATCAAATGCAACTTTTAAGAGGATAGTTTTTTTTTTTTTTTTTTTTTTTGAACAATAAGAAATTTTTTTGGAAAAAAGAGAAGGGAGACCTGATATTAGAATTCAGATCTCGGTAATTCTAAGTACATGTTATAAGGAGGAACCAGTAGGTCCCCAAGTATTGGACTTTAAGAGGATAATTTAATTAATTTAAAATTTAAAATTTTATATTTGAACTTTAATTTGAGTGGGGAGAATTTTGAAAAAAGAAAGAATTATTTTTTAGTATAACCTATTATTAGATATAAAAAAAAGAAAAAGAATTATCAACTTGTGAGTTGTTAAAATATATTTATTATTAAAAAAATTATTATTAAAAATAGATAATAAAATAAGATATATAAAAAAAGTGTAATATTAAATAATAAATTTATGAATATTTTAATAGGTATAAGAATTCTTTTAATAATTTATGATAAAAATTTATAAAACTAAAGTTATTCTGCCAATCTTAATTTATTTGATTTAAAATGTAATTAATTCTTAAATTAAAATTTAAAAAATTTCACAAGAATATATAAAACAAAAAAATAAATATTACAAGAATAGCTTCAAATAAAATAAAGACAAAAAAATTCAAGAAAAAGATATAAAGTAAATTGTATTTACAAAACAAACAAAAATTTACAAAATTACATCAATTGCTATTGCTTAACTTAAAAGTTTTTCTCTACCAAAATGCCTTCAAAGGTCAAAAGTAATTATAAAATTGCCACAAAATTACCCTCACTTCTAGAGAGACAAAGGAACATAAAGAGAGAGACCTATTAGTCTTAAAGAGGGTAGAGTTAACTCTACTGTCTTTATTATTTTTTGTTACTCTTAAAATACTAAATAATAAATAAATATATCAATCATATGAATTAACAAGATTTTATATAAGTTAAAAGAAATGCATAGGTTATATTGATTATTGAATAAGATTAAGTAAAACTTTGAATAAAGTTAAGGGAAAATGAGTTATAACATTAAAGATTGAAGATAAAGATGAAGATAAAGATAAAACATCCATCAATAGAAATTCACAAATATTGTATCTTTTATAAAAAAAAAATATCAAATAATAGTACAAGTTTAGGAATTTAAAGGGACATGATGAAGCATACAAGTTCAAAACTAGCAATAACCCTGCAAAGTACAAAAAAAAAAAAAAAAGAATTAAATCAGTATATAACCATATTGAATTAAACTAAGAATTATAATAAAAGTAAATAAAAAGTTATAAATACAAAAAAAAAAAAAAAAAAAGAATTAAATCAGTATATAACCATATTGAATTAAACTAAGAATTATAATAAAAGTAAATAAAAAGTTATAAATACCATTCTTAATTCAAAAATGATATGCAATATGCAAAAAGTAACGAAGATTGTTAATCTAAGGTGAGTAAAATGAATGGGCCACCCAAAGAATTGGAAGGGAAGGAGGAGTAAAAGGAGGAAGAAGGAAAGAAAAAATGACGGGGTTGTTGGCCGTACAGTATATATCGCCGAACAACAATGCTTAGTAGGTTGATAAATGTCCACCGTTTAAATGAATTTTGAAAATTCAAATAACTTACGGTGGAATCATTTTTATTGGCATAGCTTGCAATGCTTACTGAGAGAAATTGGTGGCCGAAAATGCATATTTTGGCCAAATAACTAACGTAGCATGCATTGCTACACAAAGGAAATTGGGCGGCCTCAAAATTTTAAATATTTTCAGTCAAATCACTGATCGTCTGTTACATTGCTGAATGGATAGAAATTGGCGGCCAAAATATTTTCAATTTTTTCATTGAAAACGTGTTGTTCATTGCTACCTAGTTATTTTACAACTACCCCACCAGAAATTATATATCCTTTTACAAAAAATGATTTATGAACATCATCAATGTATTACGCGTCGAATTCTTTATCACCTACTTTTATATTACATAGGTGACGGATGAATTTCCGGAAAACTTTTACACTTTCCAAATTTGAGGCAAACTGGAAAGACCATTATTATGGTCACTTCTTAAGTTGGCCTGCCAGATTGTAACAAATTTTGCAGGAATTAATCAATGAACTGCAAGGAATCTCACTAAAAAAAGGATAGCAAGACACATGGATGTGGAAACGCAGCCGTGAAGGCAAGTACTTAGTGCAGATTGTTGGGAAAAATTGGCACAGCAGAATAAATTATTTCCTGTGAACAACAAAAAATAAATGGTGAAATAAGTGGCTTAGTTGACTAATATTAACAGTTAGTGAAAAAGGCGGCATAGCCAGCCAAGCAAAATAAATTGGGCGGTTTAATCAGCCACTTAAGAAGAAAAATAAATAATAAGATGACACCAAATTTTACGTGAAAAAACCCTCAAAAACTATTGAGGGGAAAAATCACGGGACAAACTTCGAAGGGTATTCCACTATGTGATAAAATTGTACTAAATATACACTCAAGTATTTTCTCTCTCTTGGTGTTTCCCACTCCCCCAGGATATGATCACAATTCTGATAAACTCACAATTTTATCACTCAATGTACTCTCT